ATATGTTTTATCATTATCTTGTGTTTTTAAAGGGGAAAAAGGACGTAGAAAGGAGAAAAGAACAAATATCTCTCAGAAAACATACAAAACTGGAGACTAGAGTAGGTAACACTTTCTGTGGTCGTCCCTTTTGTACATTCTGACTATCATTCTATGGGGATATATCATTTTTAAAGAAAATTAAATATGAAAAATATTGGAGAGCCCACTAAAAACCATTCTCCTTAGTACAAGAAGAGATGAAAAGACCTCAGAGCTCTCTGCAAACTTAGGGTTGTGAATGACCCTAAAACAATGACACTCTAACCTGTGTGGCGGGTAGGCACTGCCTGACACGTGGAGTGAGTTGCTTCCAGGAGAGGTGACAGAGCTTTGGAAGCTTCACAAGATCCTCAGCATCTGGAGAAGGGAGTTGAGGGACTGAGAGGGAAGGAGCAAGGTGAGATTTAAAGCCACCATAAAAGGTCAGGGCCACTGGTCCAGATGGTCCCATCTGGTTTCAGGCCTCTTCATGCTCCTTTCCCCAGGAAAGGATGTGACAACAATGTTAATTGGAAATAAGAACTTGGGTGCAGGAAGTCCCTTGTCTTGGGGTTCTGGGAGGCACTTGGGCGTTTCATGGTTTGTTTGTGTTGTTGTTGTTTATTCTATATGTACAGAAATACTTTAACCTTTTTGTATTACTATTTATTTTGTTGAAGTAGTTTCAGAAATTTCCTATGCTCCAGCCTAGATGCTTTAGTTTGGACAGCTTTGTGGACAAGGTCGTAATTCTTCCACCATCCACACAGCGTATTTAGGCCCTGATTAATTAAGTACTCAGCTACATCTGTGCACCTTCCTGCATTGTTCTCCAGAGACAGCAGAGCAGGAGGCTGTGCCCTCCCCATAATTAGCATACTCCTCAGAGAGGAAGCGTGTCTGTGCATCCGGTACATCCTGCAGCCAGCTTGGGGACAGATGAACAACTACTCCATTGTTTTAGACCAACCACACTATTCTGTCCCCTCATCTTCTGTGGGAGTGTATTTGTTCACTGAAGGGAGTGTAGAAACTATTGTCTCAAATAAGGACACTTTCAAGAGTGAAAATGTGGTGATTTAATAGTAGTGTGGGACATCAGGGTAAGTGGGGAATACCTCAGGGCAAACCAGGATGTTAGCTCAGGCCACCTGTATCACTTGCTATGTCTAGGAGTAGAGAAAAAAAGAGTCCAAATACCTGAATATCTAAAATCTATAGAGGAGAGTAAAGAAGTATTCAACAAATATGCACTGTCCTGATATGATATGATAGCTGCGGTGAGCTGGCTCCAGTCTCAGCTCTTGGGCCCTGGATCCTGGATCACCTCTTTTTTCTCTCTCTGGGGACCTTCCCACACCATGAGGAGCTTGGAGGGATATGTAAAGACTAACCAGCTCATGTTCTAAGTTCAATTCCTGCTTCCAGAATTAGCTGCCTCTTGACCACACACTGTGTGAGATGCCCACTCCTTGGGAAGAGAATTCTAGGGCCCCTGTGTCCCAGGATGTGGTCTAGAAGGTAGAACACCAGCGGTGGATGGGCCTGGTCCTGTGGTCTTGCAGACCCTTCACCCTCTGGGGGAGAGGATGACCAAAGGGAGCCAGAGCAGCATCTGTAAAGTGTGGCATAGGCAAGGCTCCTCTCACCTGGTGCTATAGACTCAATTGAGCCTTTACTTCCCAAGGTGACTGTATTTGCAGATAGCTGCCTTAAGGAGGTAAAATGAAATGAAAAAAAATCATATTAAAGTTATAAGGGCAGGGCCCTAAGACCAGAGGACTGGTGGCCTTATAAGAGGAAGATCTATCAAAGACCTCTCTCCTTGATCATGGACTTCCCACCTCTCGCACTTGAAGAAACACATGACAGTTGTCTAAACCCCCATCAGAGGTACTTTGCTATGGCAGCCTAAGCAGACTAATAGACCTGGGAAAGAATACAATCCTGTTGTTCAGAATCACCCCATCTAAGGCATGCTCTCTGCCTGGAAATGGGAGACCTAGATTAAGCAAAAAGGAGAAGGAGGTAGAATAAAGCAAACTGATAGGTCCAAAGCATGGAGCACTCTCAGGAAGACTGAGTCCCTGGGGCACTGTTCATTCATTCTTGCACCCATTTAACAAGTATGTGTTCAATTCCTACTTGTGCCAGGCATTGGGCAAGGCAGTAGAAACACAGTTTTGAAAAAGTGAAAGTCCTTGCACTCAGTTCACGTACTTTCTAGTAAGTTCACAGGGTGGTAGTGTTAGCATGGTTTTCTGAAAGAGTAAAGAGTTGGAGGAACAACACCCTTTCAGGAAAGCTTACTGGTCCAGGGATTCCTCAACTTCATTCTCCATATGTTCTTCATCTCAGATGGGGACTCAAGAGGGAGGAGACTCCCTGTGTTGCCTTGGTGATCACCTCTCCCCTGACACCTCTTGCAGTTACCAGGAGTGTGATAAGTCCTTGAAGCTCCTGAGCTCAGCTGGGCCCCGGATGTGGCTCTGGGGAGTGGTAGGATTGGGAGGTCGCAGAGAGGTGAGCTCACACAAGCCCTCTAATTCCCACATCTGTCTGTGAAGAGGTCAGGTCAGTGCAGCAGCTTCAGGATGGGAGGTTTCAGCTTCCTGAATGTTCTGAGTGGGCATAAGTGCCTCCAGGCTTCTTCCTTTCTGTCAATGGGCCAAAACCTTCCTGGACTTTCAGGCTACTTAATGTACCTAGGACTAACTTTGATTTTTACCTGCCCAAGAGGGATCACTTAGCACTTTCTTGTATTTTCTTTTAAAAAGAAAGAAAGGAAAAGTTGAGCTTTCCTTCTCCCTTTCTTCCTACCCCTTCTTTACTCTCTTCCCAGTGTGTGACTTCTGGAGCTCAGTTCAGTGTCCTGATTGACATTATTGGCATACTTGTGAGTCAGGATTTCAGTGATGTGTAAACCTCAGGGCCTTAACCTAAAGCCAGACTGATGAGCATTGATTATCTATATAAAACTTTTAAAAGCACTCGCTTATATTTTCAATTTCCCATCTCACCTCTTTGTATTGTCTGCCCTTTAAAAATCTATGAATGTCCAGATTCGTCCCATTCCAGAACATGCCTCTGGATTTTCAAAGTATGGAAATTAGAGGGAAAAGAACCCAAAAGTTACAGTTACTACTTCCAAGGCAGTTGAATGAAATGAAAGAGGAATGAGAGAGAAGTATATTCAACTCTTGAAAGTATCTTGACCATACAAATATTTCAAAATATTCTGAATATGGTTTGAATTTTTTTCTTTCTGGAAATTTTAAGCAAACAAATTTCAAATGCAAAATTTTTTTTCAAATAACCCTCCAAAATACCAAAGAAAGAGTCAAATCTCATATTTTTAAGGCCACTTTTAATTGAAAGGACAACCAGTAACTTGTGATTCTGAATGGAGTGGTCAGTCAGTCCTTGAGTTCATTTTCATTCTGGCTGTCTGACTGTCTTCCTTCCTCAATTCTTTGGGTCAAGTTATGGTTGTCTTTTAGTTCTAGAAGGATTAGTGTAAAAGAGCTATGCAAGCAGAGCAGATTCTGCTTCTGAAATGGAGTTAATGGAGAAAGTTAGTATCTCAACCAAAAGTACCTTTGGTACTTTCGTACACCTGCACTGCCTGCTTCATGGAACCATAAAGTCTTCCTCTTGCTTGCTCTTGAAGAGTCTTAGGGCTAGAATTTAGCTTTGAATCTTCAGTGGCCATCATCCAAGATTCTCACCCTCAAATCTGATCCCCACCCAGTCCCTGGATCTAAAATTAGTGTTTTCCCAGTGTGCATCAGCCTGGTCTCCCTGGCTCATCACTCACTCATTGGGCTGGATTTTCTGGCTACTGATGCAGGAAGCCTGCAGGGCAGAAGAAGAGATGGCACCAAGAAGCCTTCACAAATTCCCAAGGAGGCCAGCCTGGCACAAGTCTGCAGTGTATAAGAGCTACAGTTATCAGGATGCCTTGTCTCGACCTAGCTGGGGATCCTGGCCCTGTGTCCCTCCCAGCTCTAAAAAAACTCCTAAAATTTGTCCACCTCCACAAATCCCTACAAAAAAAACCAATGAAAACAGGAGAGGGTAGGGCTCTTGTTATTCAAATGTACCACTCGCAAAACATATGGCATCCATCATTATCAGATATCTACCCAACTGGCAAGACCAAGCATGTGTTACAAGGCACCAAGCTAAGCAGAAAATAAACAGAAAAATGACAAGCTAATCTCTAGTGAACTTGTGCAGAATGCTGCAATAAAAATATCTAGGGTGGGGGGAAGCTATTTTCCCTTGAGTAAAACTTGTTTTATCTTCTTAAAATGTGAATGTTGCATCAATTTTGTTCCTGTACCTGGGTCTCTTAGTGTCTTATTCCAAGCTTGCATATCATGGAAGCATCGCCAGTTCAGAGATTCTTACAGATGAGAATAGCCTTAGTTGTCCTAACTAGTTGTGTGACCGTGGTCAGTATAACTTTTCTGAGCCTCAGTTTCTTTTTGTGTCAAGTAAATAATTGGCCTCAATGTTTAAAATCACTTTCAGTTCTAAAAATCTGTGATGCTACAGCTTTATAGCAGTAGATAGCCCATGCATCAGTGGTACCCAACATTTTTGGCACTAGGCACCAGTTTAATGAAAGAAAATTGTTTTCCATAGATGGGGTTAAATTGGCAGTTCTGGATTAGATTCTCATAGGGAGCACGCAATCTAGAGCCCTCAAATGTGTAGCTCAAGGTAGTGCTTACTCTCCTATGAAGAATCTAACAGTACTGCTGCTGTGACAAGAGACAGAGCTGAAGAGGTCATGTGCTATAAATACAGATGAGTCTTCACTGGCAGTCCCACCACTCACTTGCTACTGTGTGGCTTGGTCCCTGACACCATGGACTCGTACCTGCAGAAAGGGAGCACCTTCCCTAATCTCACCTGTGCCAAGCTGCCTCCTGCCCCTCTTTTTTGAGACAAGGACTCAGTGTGTAGTCCAGGCCAGCCTTGAACTTTGACTGCACTTTCTACGCAAGCCATGCTAACCTCAAACTCAAAATCCTTCAGTTTTTCACAAGCCTTCTACCTGGACCAGTCCATGGCCTGGGGTTTGGACATCTGCTCTGCATAAACCAGGTGAGGTATAAGTCAACTTGTTCAGTTCTATACAATTGATTGCTGTCATTGTAGATGGAAGTCGTAGAAGCCACAGGCTTCTGTGGGGGCAGGGATGGAGCTCTGAGATGCCTTTGAATGGCTGCTCCTGTGAGAAATGGTGCATAGTTTGAAGTAGGAGGGAAAATGCATCCTCGAGGAGGCAAAGGACTCTCTAGGACTTGGGTACTCAGCACAAGCTGTGAACCTGTGAGAACCATGTTCCCAGGAAAGAGACTGGTAGAAAACAGACACTGGGCCCACATCTGCGCAGTTCCTGGAGTGCACAGTTCTTACTCAGCTCAGCCATGGAGAAAATGAAGTGTGCCTTCTCTGTCTTCCTTTCCAGATCCAGCCTGCCACCCCCAAAAGCAACCCTGGTGGTAGCCTGCCTGGGTGGTGACCTCTTGGGGAATGCAGTAAATCCCACCCTGCAGGTAATCTCTAGAAAACCTTCAGGCTTTGGTGCCTTGTGACTCCTGTGAAAACCTGGGCTCTTGGGAAAGGGGGTTGATTTCCAGGGAATTAGCCACAGCCCTATCTGTAATCAAAGACCCTCTCAGTCTTCAGCTCTGCCTGGGATATTGGAGACTGGCAGTCCACAGTAGATGCTACCTGCATGAAAGAGCAGCAGCCTCCTTGCAGTACTGTGCCACCACTTTGGACAGGTTCTACCAACATCATCCACGCAGGCTTCTTAGAGGCAGGGAGCTGGAAGTGTTTTAAAGGAAGAGGAGGCTAGGTATGGTGGTACATACACGTAGTCCCAGGAGTCCCAGAGTCTGAGGCAGAAGTACTGTGAGACGCTGGAGGAGTTTGAGTTTGAAGTCCGCATGGGCTGCATAGAAAGTTCAAGGCAAAGCTCAAAGCTGACCTGGACTACACAGTGAGTCCTTGTCTCAAAAAAGAGGTACAGGAGGCAGCTTTGCTGATCTGAGATTAGAGGAGGTGCTCCTTTGCTGCATGCAAAACCAAACTCATTAATTGCCTAAGTGCTAGAGGTTATGACCTCTGTGTACTCCTTCAGCGGGGGGTCTAGCCGTTATGAAAATTACCTGTTGACCCCCAAGAGAAAGCGGTGAGTGTGCTGCCCCCAGGTTTGGGCTGCTTGAGGGGTCCCTTCAATCCAGGGCAGGAGGCAGCCAAAAGCCCCAGTCAGTGGAGACCAGGCAGAGGTGAAGAGGAAAACGTGGTGGTGAAGTCTCAGGAGGGGGAGTCAGGATCTGCTCCTCTTTTTCTCCCTCTACTCTCCAAGGCCTTCCAGAACAAGCACTTTTCCCACCAGATGCTTTGAATAGGCTTTCCCTTCCTAACTGAAGACAGCTTTTCTTTTACTAAGCAAGGAGGAGGAACATATCCTGCAGCCCTTTCTCTCTCCTCCACTGTCTTTTTAAGGGTCTTTCACATTGCCTCCCATCTCCAGAATCAAACTCAATGCACAGAAGCCTGGGGCAGGGAAGCTCTCCATTTGCAAGCTTGGAGAGTGTTATAGATTGATCACCCAGCCACTTCCCAGCAAAAAGCATTCTCAGAGGGAAGCCAGTCCCCTTTTCTGGGGAGGAGGATGTGGTCTTCACCTCAGGCACCCTACCATTCACCCCATGGGCACTCACTTCCATCAGATATCTACAAATCCTTTCCTTCAGGTAACGTCACTTTCCAACAGTCATCAGGACCAATGCCTCTTTGGGCTGGACCAGACTTCTTTCTCTGGAAAGCCCTGAGGCCAGTCAGAAAAACCACTGACTCTTCTGCCCAGTACTACTGCAACCAAGGAGTTACAGATTACTACAGTGTAAAACAAGTCAGTCCCCCAAGGGCAGCAAATTAGTATCAGAATTCCTTTCACTTTCCTAGTGGCTCTGCATTTGCTTGCCCCGGGCTTCTGTGCATTGAGTGTGATTCTGGAGATCTGAGGCAAAGTGAAAGACCCTTATAAAGCACGGGTGGCGTAGCATCCCTTTCATTAATGGCCTACATTTTCCAGACCACCAAGCTTAGGGACAAAACCAGGATCCCACGAGTACACACACACACACACACACACACACACACACACACAAACACACACACACACAGTTTCTCCAGGAAAGTAGTCTGTTGTGGGGAAATTTAAGCTCTTTCTCAAATTTCTCCAGTAGTCCTGGGTTTCTGTCTCCCTTGATATCTCATCAGCAGCCTCTGGGGGTGTGTCCTGTGTACTCTGCAAACACATGTGACATCTGGTGCTTTTATTCTCTCCTACCCTAGCTCATGTAAGGCAATGACTCCAGTCACTGCTCATGTCTGCCTAAAAAGTTCAGTTACTGCCAGTGTCCGGTGCCAAGGTCATTAATGCGTATGGTATGACATCCTTGTCAGTTACTACAGAAAATACCAGCAACCATTCTGCTGAAGCCCTGCAAAGTAACAGCCTGGCCCTTTTTTTTTTTTTTTTGGCCTGGCTGTATCATAAATCCCACAAAATCATAGTGACTCATAGCCAACACAGATAGAATCTTCCCTTTCCTCTAGAACTAGTGGTGCCATATCCTGATAGCAAATACTTGTGCCCTGACACTAACTTCAGTAACAAGTTTTGTGTTTCCTTGTGTAAATACTCATGCAGAATGACCCCCATACATTTTCTGCATATGACACATCTCTTCTGAATAATTCTCATTTAAGCTAAAAATGACTCAGAATTACTATGACAGTGCTAGTTAAATGTTTGGATTTGAATCCTGGGTCTATCATTCACTCTCTCCCAGCCTTTATTTTCTCATATGTAAAAATGGATATACTAGTTCCTACATCACTGGGTTGCATTAAAAGCAATGTATGTGACTTCATCTAGTGTTTAGAATGCAGTCAGTAAATGTTGACCATTATAATTATCATTACTTTTTTTTCTTAAAGAGCAAGAGCTGAAATCAAGAGGACTGAGCTAGGATAACTTAACCCCAAGATCATACAGCCAGTGAATAGCAAAACCAATACAACCCATCTCCAGGTATCCAACCCCCGTTGAGTCAGCCTGAACACATCACAGTCCTTCCTACAGCTCCACAGGTGAGTTTCCACCTGCGTTATACTCACTTGGCAGTGTTTTATTCCTATTTTATGGCACTGCTGAGAACCTAACTGAAAGAACTTAGTAGACAAAGCCAGGGAAAGATGTGTAAAGGCACCAGACTACAAACTCCAGTGAAGCAAAGGAAATATTCATTCACTCTTCCATGGTGACCAGTGTCTTTAGCTCCTTGTTTTATGGAGAAAGAAGACAACACATTGGTGATTATTCCCTTATTTTAAAAATTCACACTTGAGACCACCAAAGCAAAAGGAACTTGGCTGTATGACACGTTCAGATCCAGGCAGAGCTTGAATAGAAGCTAGGTTTCATGCCTATTTTAATGTGGTGCTGATCTGAAATGTTTCCCTAAGGTTCCAGGGTCGGGATTTGAGAAGGAACACACTTCCCTCATCAAGACATCAGCTTCATACAAAGTGGGCACATGCAGGCAGCCAGAGGGAAGCTAAGAAGGCCTTGCTCATCTATTCTTCTTGCTACTGAGTCTTAGATGCCAAGGTGTTGGGAGTGGGAGAGTATATTTTCTAATGGGCTACTTTTTGAACAAAATAGGCAGCTGCTTTCACAGTGTAAGAGAGGTTGGTTAATTCTCAGTACTAGCTATAGATTGCTGCATTACAAATTACTCCTAAGCCTAATGGTTGAAACCAATTAGCAATTATTATCTCAGTTTTCCTTGCGTTGGAAATTTGAGAGCAGCTTAGGAGGGTAGTTCTGACTCAGAGTCTCTTGTGAAGTTCCAGTCAATGTCACAGGTGGGGCTGCTCTCATCTGAAGGCTCAGCTGTGGCTGGAGGATCTGTTTTCAAAATGATGTCCCTGCCAGCCATGGTCCTGCATGCCAGTAATCCCAGTCCTCAGGAGGCTGAGGCAGGAGAATCACTCACTACATAGTGAATTCAAGGTCAGCTTCAACTACATAGTGAGACCCTGCCTCTAAAAAATAAAATGGTATGATCAGATGGTCTTGGGACTGAAGTTGACTCCTTGTGATACAGGGGTGAAGAATCAGATATGGCAGCTGATGTGCCCTGGAAGATGTGTCAAGACAGACACCAAAGAGGAAATTGCAATGCCATTTATGACCTCACCTCAGAAGCCATACAGTGACATTTTTGCTATCTTCTAATCTTTAGGAGCAAGTTGCTAGGTCCAGTTCACACTTAATGGAAAAAGAATTAAGCTCCACCTCTTGAGGGAAGAATACCAAATTTGTGGATTTATTTTAAAATCATCATGTGCTCTATCTGCCTCAGCCTTATGCATGTGTTTGACATTACACCGTTAGTGAACTGAAGTGAAATAAGAGAATAATTTGTTTTCATATTCCAAACATTTTAAATTTATGTTAGTTATAAATTTAGGGATAAATTTATAGGAGTCAGAGGATCAGTTTCTATTTTACACCCCATTTCTGACATGCCATAAACCTTAGACATCTCATTCTCCTTCTGGGTTTCAGTTCCCTCATTTGTTCAGTGAGGTTCCTGCCTTTTCAACAAGTAGTCCTGGGGAAACTTGATATGTACATGCAAACCAATGATGCTAGACACTTACCTGCCACCATACACAAATGTTAACTCAGAATGGAAAAAAAGCCTATGTCTTGATTACTTTTCTCTTATTGCTAGGACAAAATACTCAACACCCAAATTAAAGAGGGAAAGGTTTATTCTGCTTACAGTTTGTGGAGGTTTCCAGTCCATAGTCAGCTGGTTCCACGACAGAGTGGCAAATGACAGAGGGCAAGAGTTCATGGCCAGGGAAGACAGCAAAAGCAACAAGAGTAAGAAAGGAGGAGCAGCAGCAGCAGCAGAGCACAAGCCTCTTACCCTCCCTTATATTGTATGCAAGGTACCTACCCCAGGGTGGGTGTAGCACTCACACCCACAATCCCAGCATTGGACCATAAATCAATCACAGACTCTAGAAGCCTGCCCCATGACTGCATGAGGCTTAGTGGGGGACATCCAGACACAAAGCATAACACCTTATAAAACTTAAAACTATAGACCCGTTAGTAAAAGTTAGGGCAAAAGCTTTACAACACTGGATTTGGCAATGACTTCTGGGAAGTCACACCCTGAAGGTATAGTAAACAAGATACAAAAAGGCAAATGTCACAAATATTTAAAAATAATTTGCGCATCAAAAATAAGTGATTGCTGAGTAAAATGTCAACCCACAAAATGGCTGAAAATGTTTGCATGTCACATATATGACAAGGAATTAATATCCAGTATTTGTAGAGAACTCTTAAAATTCCACAACAGAAAAACAAATAGCCCAATTTAAAAATGGCCAAAGGACTCCAATACGAGGCATACAAAGAACCAATAAACAAATCAACAGGATACAAAATCCAAAGATGTTATTCACAAAAACAGAAAAAAACAAACCTAAAATTCATGTGGAAGCACAAAAGATCAGAATAGCCAAAATAAATCTAAGCAGAGAGAGGAAGACTTGAGACAGCACAATACCTGATTTCAAATTATACTACAAAGCTGTAGTGACAATAATAACATTCATTGTATTGGCACAAAAATAAACACATAGACCAATGAAATAGAATAGAGGACACAGAAACAAATCCACTCAGTGACAGCCAGATGATTCTTGAAAAAAGAGCCAGAAACATATGTTGGAGAAAAGGCAACCTTTTTTACAAATGATACTAGGAAAACTGGATATCTATAATGCAGAAGATTGAAACTAGATGCCTAGCTCTCATCCTGTACAATTTAAAATGGATCAAAGAACTAGGTATAAGGCCGGAGACTTTGAATCTGCTAAATGAAAACATAGAGGAAATACTTGAGGTCCTAGGCACAGGCAAAAACTTCATGAATAGGATTACAGTTACACAGAAAATAATAGAAAGAATCAAGAAATGAGACTGCTTGAAATTAAAGTTTCTTCACAGCAAGGGAAACAACCAACAGAGTGAAGAGACAGTCTGCAGAATGGGAGAAATCTTTGCCAACTACGCTTCTGACAGAGGGTTAATATTTAGAATATAAAAAGAACCCACAAAACACCAAAATAGTCAAACAGCCCAATCAATAAATGGGCAAATAAATTGAACATATTTCTCAAAAGAAGTACAAATAGCCAATAAGTATGTGAAAAAAAAATCAATATCTTTAACTACCAGAGAAATGAAAATCAAAATTACACTGAGATTCCATCTCACCCCATCAGAATGGCTATCATTAAGAATACAAGGAACAATAAGTACTGGTGAGGATCCAGGGGTAAAAGAACCCTCCTACACTGCTGACGGGAATGTAAATTAGTACTGTGCATCTTGTATGGAAATCAGTATGGAGGTTCCTAAAAAGAACTAAAAATAGAGCTACCATTTGATGTAGCTATATCCCTGGTTGGTGCGTATATACCCAAACATATAGAAATATCTGCACACTCATGTTTACTGTGGCACAAGTCACAATAGCCAAGGTATGGAACAAGCTTAGATAAATGGACAAAAACAATGTGAGATACCTGATATATATAAATGTATGCCTGTATATACCAGAGTATTATTCAGCCATAAAGAAGAACAAAATTATGTCATTTTTAGGAAAATGAATGGAACTGGAGGTCATTGTGTCAAGCAAAATAAGCCAGGCCAAGAAAGAGAAGTATCATATGTTCTCCCTAGTATGTGGGGCTAAGAAAGGATGACATGAAAGTAGAAGCAGGACTATTATTAAACAACAGGAAAGGAGTGTGTGGATAGGGGGATTAGAGAAGATGAGTGGGTACTAGGTAAGATGTATATGATCAAAATATATTATACACATGGAAAACTAGTAGGTTATAAATTTAACAGGAACTAAAAAAAAAGGGCCAGTGACATAGCTCAGCAAAATAAGTGCCTGCCTGGCAAGCACAAGGTACTGAGTTCGATTCCCAATACAAAAAAAAAAAAAGAATAAATTTAATAGGGACTAACAAAAGCATTTAAAAATAAAAATAGTAAATCAAACAAAAATGTACAAAATAAAACAAATTTTGGCCAGAAGGTAGCAAAACTAGATTTCTTATACATCTTTGGTGAGAATGCAAAATGGTATAGTTGGTGTGGAAAATGATATTGTAGTTTTTCAAAATGATAAAAATGAAATTACTATATGATTGAGTAATTGCATTTCTGGATATATGACCCAAAGTATTGAAAGCTGGGTCTTGAGGAGATATTTGTACACCAAATTTATGTATCATTATTCATGACAGCAACACAAGAGTCTGCCAAATGGGTAAGAAAATATGGTGCATGCACAAAAAAAGAAAAGAGTTCTGCCATGGAGCAGCCTGAGGTCATCCTACTAAATGAAACAAACCAACTACGGAGACAAATACAGCAAGACTCCACTTATATAAGGTACTTAGAATAGTCAAAATCATAGACAAAGTTAAATGGTGGTTATCAGTTTTGTGGAGAATGGGGAGTTACAATTTCATGGGTATAGTGGTTCAGTTTCACAACAGGAAAATGTTACAGAGAGGGATGATAGTGACATTTGCATTACAAATGCACACACACCAAACTGTACAGCGACTTACAAATGGCTATGATGGAAAATGTATGTCATATGTGTTTTAGCATAGTGAAAGTAATCGGGAAAAAAACAGATGAAGTTTAATGCCTGAACTGAAATATTTTTAATGTCCCTCTGCCTCTGACATTCTCTTTTCCAGGATTATCTATTAGACTTTAGAGTTTAGATTTCGTCTGTGCCAGTCTCTCCTCTGCGATTGATCTGTCTGTCTGATTGTGTATATACTAATGTATATGTTCAACACATTTTTGCTCATGTCTTTATATTTCAAAAGTCTATTTAAATAACTCTTTCATGGCCCTTTAGTCTTTAGAGGGAAGGTGAGGCTGTTTATGTTACAAGAACATATTTTATTTGCCTACAGCAGCCAGAGCACAGCATGCTATTACTATAAATGGGGCATGATAGTGTTTTGTTATGAAATGCCTTTTGATGTAGGACAGCCACAGTCCAATGACTTCCAAATATATTTCAGCCTACTGTAAAAAATAAAATGACAGATCTTCTCATAGCCACAGGGTCTCTGTACACATTTCCAGGAACTCAAGGCCATTTACTAAATCCAGAGAAACATTGTTTTAATGGTTATAGATTGTCAACTCGGCTTTGAACAAGCCTTCCTCCCTCCTCTTCCCAGCTTGAGTCAGTCAACCTGGGTAACAAAAGAGTGCAACACTGGGGTATCTTTTCAAGACGAGACACCGACCCTCCACGTTGTTCCTCAAGGACTACCCACTTTACAGTAAATGCTTCTGGGGAAAACATCTTTTAAATGTAGCAGTCATCCCAATCTGTTCAGTTCCTGAACTCTGAGTGCTTCCCCATTTTTTGGGCTTCCCTTGTAGTTCCACTGTGTATGTGCCTCCCAGAAAACTGTTGATATTTGTCCAGAAGTGGGTCTTGCTCAAGGTATTCACAGCATGGTATTGGCATCTGTAGTAGAATTACAGTTGATCAGCAGTCTTTGTGCATCAGCAGATAAGTAAATTGTGGTAGATGTGCCAGGAATACTGTGCAATAATTAGAATCATATCAGTTATCTATTTCTGTCCAACAAATTATATCAAATTTAGCATCTTAAATCAACAAACATTTGCTATATCGCAGTTTCTATTATTCAGGAGCCAGGATGGCTTAGCTGGGTCCTTTGGCTTAGGGTCTCTCACAGTGCCGCAATCAAGAGCTGACAAGTGCAGCAGTCATCTCATATCTCAACTAGGCAAGGGGAGGATTTGCTTCCAAGCTTATCCACAAGGCTGTTGGCAGGATTCAGTCCCTCCCTGCTGTTGGACTGAGGCCCTTAATCTCATGTTGGCTGTTGGCTGGAGACTTCTCTCTGGTCTAAGTAATAGATTCTGTATACAGCAGCTTGCAAATTTGGGGCTGACTTCAACCAGAGGGAGCAAGTGAGAAAACAAGAGGGGAAGAGGGAGGCTTTTTTGTGATCTGATTTTGCAAGTGCCATTCCATCACTTTTGCCACATTCCATTCACTAAGAGCGAGTCACTAGGTCTAGTCCTCAAGGAAGGTCAAATGACTGCACAAGGTCGTGACTCCCAAGAGGCTGCCATTGTTGGGCGACATCTTAGGAGCTGCTCACTACAAAGTGACAAAAATAAAAGAGTGCACAGCTTTGAAGACAATGGTGAACAGAAGGGGGCAAGAGTTAAATGAAACTGGTAGCAGAATAAAATTTGTTTAAATTCCAGTGCCCAGGAAACAGTGTTGTTAGCTTTATAAAGACGCAAATCAATTCAAGAGTATGTAATCATCATCCATAATTGCCTCGTGGATATGGAAAAGAAAGTGCATAAGAGAACAAATGACTACATAAACTACATAAACAAAATAAATCTGTGGACGATGAACTCAGGACCAAGTTTGATCCCAGCACCATAGGTTCAAAAGACAGGAAAAGTAACCAAACAAATACTCTGGATCCCCCAAATACTCAAGCTCCTGCTGAAAGCTCTCCTTGAGATCTGTGTTTGTGGGAGTGCCTCATCCCAATGTCACTCTGGACTAAAGTTAACTCAAGGCATCAGAGAATTTTACCAAGTAGCATCTGTGTCAGAGTGGTATAACTTGGAGACTGTAAGACAGGTCTACAACTTTAGCATATAGAAGATGTGTCCACAGGGTGATCAACCATCGTGGGACTGAAGATGCTTCCTGAATACGATACCAAAACTTAATAAGTTCCAATACTTCCAATACTAAAACTTAATAAGTTGGCCACTTTACCACTCGAAGAGCTCATTAAACATACAAGCTGATGTATCTTACAGGAGGTTCTGCCTTGCTGTGCCTGATCTTGGCAAGGAATACATTCTAAGTAGCACCAGAAGCCCTTCTAACATGGGTAGCACATGGATCAACTTTGAAAGCCATGCTGTGGAAGGATAGCTTTGAAAGGTACTGCTATTAGTACCCTCACGGAACTGCCATTTTCAAGTGTATTATCACAAATATTATGCAGCCACCTCATGCTGTTTCACTTTTACCTGTTGATAATCCCAGGGCTCTAGGTCACAGTTCACTGATTCTACAATTTATCTTCCTTGTAATGCAGACAACAAGAACCAGGAGGCAAAGTTCATGACGAGGTCAGGACAGGAGTTTGGGGAGGAAGATTTCCCTGACTGGCTGTTACAAGACACCACACCCATGACTGGGTTAACCCTCTACAGAAAGGCTCTCCAGAGTCACCCACCCAGCATTGCCATCAGAAGAATATGTTAATAAGTCTAAGGTGAGAACTAGGTCAGCAGGAAACAAGATGCCCCACACGTAGAGCCTTAAAACATTTTTCATATTTTGGAAATAAAAAAGGTTACCCAAGCACATTGACAAGAGAACATGGAAGTGAGGTAATAGCAAATACCTCTCAAGATACAGCTCAAGGATGAGGGTGGGGAGTCTGATGTCAGAGGGAGTGGATCTTGCGAGGGTGCAGGCACACAACATACATCCATTTCCATCAGGAAGGGTGTATTGGACCACAGAGATTCTCCAAATATTCTTGGACCAGTCAATAGTCCTTGCTCTATTTTTATATTCACATAGTGATCTTTTGACCTCTGTATTCTTTGTTTTTCAGATACAGATTAAACAACATCTATGTAAGAAGGACTATGCTAAGCATAGTTTTAGAGCTATTAAGATTCTAGTTTTATTTTTTCTGTGGGATTTTAGGTCTTTCAAAGGTAGAATCCAATTACTAACAGACTAATGCAAATAAAGCATTTGGGAGAGGTCAGAGAGATGAGACATTCTCTAAAAAGAGCTGTTATGCTGGTTGTGGTGCTGCTTGCCTGTGATCCTAGCACTAAGGAGGCTGAGGCAGGAGGACATTTTAAGTTCAAGGCCAGCCTGGACTACATAGCAAGTCCCTGTTCCAAGAAAACAAAACAAACAAACAAAACAGCTGTTATGATTCCCATTTATCTCAAAGGTGCCCTGAGACAAGAATTCAAGTATCAGTAGTGTATTTTGCCTGTTATCCCTGGAAACACATTTAGTAGAGTGTGGGGTAAGTAAGGGAAGGCAAGGAAATTGATGAAAGGAGCTAACAAACCAGTCACCAGAGATGTGTTATCTTTCTAGAAAGGAACCAGTCTTTTTCTTCTGCTGCTAGCTGTTCTTTCTATTCTGGAACCTCAAATGCACATAGATTCTGTGTTTATCTTCTCTCTGGATACATTGGCCAAGCTCTCCACTGTGTTTTTGCTGATGACTTAAATTCCAACATCTCAAGAACCCATCATTTTCTTTGAACATCATTTCCAGCTGCTAGTTAGACATCATTGCTAGAATATCCCTAGCACCTCCAACTCAACAGAGCCATAATCAAGCCTATATTCTTATACGAACAAGGTAATTTTTTTCTGACTTCCCAGTATTCATGATTCCATCCTTTGTCAACTTGGCAAAGCTCAACACTTGCAATTGTCTTTGATTCCTTCTTGTCATCAGCATAGCCTATCTAACGAACCTCAAAACCTTGCTTATTCTATGCTACTACAATGTCCCTTAGAGTAGGTGGCCCCTCTGTCTTAAGTATAGCATAGCATTGTACAGTATAGTATAGTATAGTATAGTATAGTATAGTATAGTGAAGGGCCATAGAGTATAGGGTCAAAAGACAAAGTTACAGCAAATTTAAAGATCACATTTGTTTTGTTTGGAATTCCGCAATAAGGTAACTTCTTAGTCTGCATGATAAAATGAGTGTCCTATGAGCTGAGTAGAAGGATTGGCTTTATAGGCAAAAATGGAACAAAATGGGGACTGGTCATTTTCAAGTTACTTTTGTTGTGGGATCAAAACAGAAGGGACTTCTTCGATAGGCTAGATCAGGAACACTGGGCTCTTTTTGATTGGTTTCTGTGAATATCCTGTTTTCTTGAGAGCTTGCCCATTTCAGAGTTCAGTTTGGTTACATTTTACCTAGCATGAGTCTATTCTGATTTGGTCTGATCTTCTGTGGTCTAGTGAAGGAGGCTAGTTGAAAACAATGGCTCCCCATCAACTTGACTAAAATATAGCATGGCATGGCATGGCATGGCATAGCATAACATACTATAGCACGGCAGAGAATAGCTTAGTATAATACAGTAGTGTAGTGTAGTAGAGTAGAGTAGAGTAGAGCACAGCATAGCACATATAGTAGTATAATGTATTTTAAGTTTTCATTGCCTGTTGCTTAACCTTTTACCTGAAATATATCCAGATTCTTTATACTGTCTTCCCCCAAATATCTGAGGGTTCATCAGACTCAGAAGGTCATATATCACGTATTTCCTCCCATACGGGGAAACAG